GGCTGGGGGCACCTGAGTGACTCAGTCAGCTGAGTGTCTGACTCTTGGTTTCGGCTCAGGTCATGATCTCGGGGTCATGGGATTGAGCCCCGCATGGGGCTCAATGCTCGGTGCAGAGTCTACTTGGGATCTCTATCTCCTCTCCCTCGTACCCTCCCCTGGCTCGTGCTCTTGCAATCAATCAATAAATAAAATCTTTAAACAAATAAAATAGTACTGGCTGAATCATTGTTCTCTAGGATGCTTCAGACGTCTCAGGAATCAATGACTATTGCTGCTAGTTCTAAGGGGTTTTGTTTGGTTGGTTTTTGGTTTTCTAGAGTTGTTATATCATCCACAGTGGCTCTGGGAAAATGTAGGTATGTACATATAGTTGTATTTTTTAATAAATGTTTTTTTTATTCTTATGTTAATCCCCATACATTACATCTAAATGTTTTTATAATAGTTTTATATTTGTAAAAGAGTTACAAAGATAGTACAGAGTAGCTACATACTCTCCACCCAGTATCTCTTGTTAACATTTTATTGTGCTGAATTGCCACAACTAAGAAACAAATTAGTACATTACTATTAACTAAACTCCACACCTCATTTAGATTTCACTAGTTTTTTCCCCCTAATGTTCTTTTTCTGTTTTAGGATCCCACCCAGGATGCGTTATTACATAGTCTTTACATCTTATAGCCTCTTCTCATCTGTGACAGTTTCTCAGATGTCACTTGTATTTCATTTTATACTTTTGAGGAGTACTAGGTTAGGTATTTTGTAGAACGCCCCTCAGTTTGGGTTTGACAATTGTCTTTTCTGATGGTTAAAGCCTGGGGCTATGGGTTTTGGTGATAAATACCACTGGGGTGAAGGGTCATTTAATAGAACATTATGATCACATCTTATCAAAGGGTATATGCTATCAACAAGATACCACTGTTAATGTTAACTTTATCTGAGATTGTCTTTGCCAAGTTTCTCCACTCTAAAGTTACCTCCCACCCTCACCTCACCCTTTGTCTTTTTTCCCTTTTGTTTTTGTTTTGTTTGTTTTTATCTGAATATAGTTGACACACAATGTTACATTAGTTTAAAGTATACAACTTACTGATTTGACAAGTTTATACATTATGTTATGCTCGCCACAAGTGTAGTTACCATTTGTCCCATTACATGCTATTATCCTTTATACATTCTCTATTCTTTGCACAGGAGTTACTCAGTACAGTCTACAATCAAAGGGCTAGGTAAGGGGTGCATTAAGCACCATTTTCCAGGGGTGGGGAAGTATCTACGTATGTTATCTATAATTCTTTTGGAATTCTTTAAAGGAACTTATCTCCCATATATTTGTCTCCATTTGTTTAGTTATTCAATCATTTATATTGGTATGGACTGATTTCAAAGATATTTATTTTATGTTTTGGATTATAACTCCACACTGTGTTATATATTTTGTTGTTCATATTGTTCCAGATTTTGGACATTGGGAGTTCCTTCAAGTTGGATCCTGTAACCTTTTGACATATCCCATTTTATTATTTTCTACCACTTCTCTAGCTATGCTTTGAATATAAACTGTAGCATTCAGGTATTTTATCTGAATAAAGTTGGAAAAAAATGAAATGTTAATCTTGACACTGTTATATATAACATAATATTCACAGATCTAGACACATTTTATTATTTGGAGAGACTATCATGTTTAAGTCATTATATCAATTAAGATATTTAGTAAAAGATGGAAGTAACACACAAAACCACCTAATTCAATGTATAGTAAATAAAGCTCACTTGAAATGATACTCCATCCACTGTAGTTCTTTTTGGACAAGTAATGTTAAAACTAAGGTTAAAACCGGCTTTAAAAAACAGTGCAAAAAGTTTGGTTAGAGATTCTCGAAAGCTGAATTCTTATGTTTAACTACTTAAAATGACAGGTCTGCCACCCTAATTTTCATAGTAATAGCAAAGAAAAACACTCTGAGATTAATTTTGCTTTTCATTATACAAGTTAATTTTCTTTTCAAAGACATGTATTATTTGTTCTAAGATATAGTTAGCTAACTACCAAGTTATATACCTTACCTATCAGCACTAACAAAAAGAATCTTTAAAAAGACTCAAAAACCTTATGATGGTCTTTGATTTTAATGTCTAGAAAGACCAACCATCACAGACACTTAAACCATCTATGCCATCTTCTAACAAACCTACAAATGCTAGACAAAAATCCAGGCGGATTCACAATCTCTACCTTTCATTCCCCACACTGCAAATCCTCCCCGCCCCCACTCATTCTACTACCCCAAATTAACAGCTTCTGATGCATTCCAATGCTCATTTCTTTACTCAGCATATTTTGTGTCATTGGCAAGATGATATGAGGTTGTAAAAGGGATTTATACTGGCAATAAATAGGTGTGAACCTGCATTTTACTTAGGTTTTCACTAATCTGTAACTGTGAATGTATTGACTTAATAGGGGGAATGGCAAAAATGAAACCAGGATAAAGATCACCATAAACTTGAAGTCAGATGTCTGGACTCAAATTCCAACCAGCAATGTTCAATACTGTATGATGTAGCAGGCTCCTCTGAGATTCATTTTGTAGCTTTTAAAATGGATGATTTAAATATATTGTCTCCCAGATTCCTTCTAGTTCTGAAGTCTATGATGCTCTGACAAAAATTTTTGTTTGATAATTCCTCAGACAACCAATTCACTCACTGCATTTGATTTTCCTGGAGCAACTTCAGATACAGCTCCATCTTTTCTTGGAGGCTTTCTCCCCCAAAATGTAAGCCCTGGAGGCTTGAGTTATCTTTATGCAAAGTTATCTTTATAACTCAGGAGAGAATAAAGATTTTTGAGATTATTATTTTAATCAGTCACATATTCAAGCCCGTTTTGTACAGGATAATAAAAGTTTGTATTAATGAAGCTATTTCTTAAGAAGGAAGGATAGTCAGTATACCTCCCCTCCATCAGGGGCCTGTTCCCTTTACTCACTAGAGCTCTAGACCAGTCTTGAACTAGGCAACTGTGAGAGAGGTAGCATTTTCTTCACATCGAATCATCCAGAGTTCCAGGACAAGCTATAAGAAGATGGAATATATATAATATAATAGAAATTCTTTTGTTTCCACCTATGTTTCTTAGAGCATGTTATGGATTGAATTGTGTCCCCCCAAAATTCATGTGTTGACATCCTGTCCCCTAATACCGCAGAATGTGACCTTATTTGGAAATAGAGTCCTTATAGATGTAATTAGTTAAGATGTGCTCATAATGGAGTAGGGTGGGCTTAATCCAAAATGACTTATATATATAAAAAAAAGAAATTTGGACATAGACACGGGAGATCACCATGTGAAGACCAGCATTATGCTCCTAAAAGCCAAGGAACTATCAGAAACTAAAAATTTTAGAGACAGGACTAGAACAGTTCCTTCCCTAGAGTCTTCAGGGGGGACCATGGCCCTGATGACACCTTCATTTCAGACTTCTGGCCTCCAGAACTGTAAGACAACACTATTCTGTTGTTCTAAGCTACCCAGTTTGTGATACTTTGTCATGGCAGCCCTAGGAAATTAACACAAGCTGTAACACGGGGGTGTAGTATGGGGGGTGGTGGGGTGGATTTCTTTTTATATCTCTTTCAGCAAATGTATTTGTACCATCACTGGCTTATAGATTTGTTTTGCCTATGCTGCTGTTTTGGGTTACAACACCTGCCAGTATATGCATTTTTATAGGTTATGAGGCACCTGGTTTCAAATATGGGGTTTTGTCACTTTCTAGCTGTGTAATTAACCTCACTGATTTTCAGTCCCCTGAAAATAGTAACACTTGATCTAACAGAGTAATGTAAGTGAATAACAATGTAGAGACAAATACAAGAGTATATAGTGTGAAGGGTAAGATCCGGGACCTTGCAGCCAGGTTGAATGATTTCAAGTTCAACTCCTCCCTTTACTAGTTCTGTGACTGAACTATAAACTCAGTTCCATCATTTTAAAATAAGAATGATAATAGTACCTGTGTCTTAAAGTTGCCATGAAGATCAAATAAGTTAATGCATAAATAGATCTTAGAAGATTGTCTGGCACACAGAAAGTATTCAATAAATGATATCTAAAAGTCCCTTGTAAACTATAAAGGACCATACAAAAGTTAGATCATTGTAATTTATAGTTAATAGCACTTACACATCGATAACTCTTTCTTTTTCTTTTAAAGTAATCTCTACACCCAATGAGTGCTCGAACCCATGATCCCAAAATCAAGAGTCAGATGCTCTATGGACTGAGCCAGCCAGATGCCCCGATAATGCTGACCTTCTAGCTCAATATGCCTCTTTGCAGCAGTAGTTTGGATAGCTATGGAGATCTAAAGAGTGACAAGCACAAATGAGGGCTATTACCAAGTGGGTCAGGTTTGCCCAGTGAATCAGAAGAAACTTCAAACTACAGACTATTTCTGGTTTTCATTAGTCTGCTCATATCCTAGGGTAAAAATATTTTAGAGCCAAAATTTTTATTGAGCATCATATTAACTGCTCTAATATGTAAATGAAAAGCAAAGAATTTAAGTAGATTTCACTTGGGCATGCAGAAATGGGAATCGAATTTTTAAAAACTGCTTTTAAAAGTTTCAAATGAAATCTTTGTTTGCATATATTTGAACTGAGATACATTGTCTATATATCACTTTCATTAGTTATAGTAAATAAAAAAAATAGACACCCAATCATCTCTCACCTTGCTTTATACCTCAAGGTGAAGTTGTTTTTTGTTGTTTTGCTTTGCTTTGTTTTATCAAATAAAAGTCTACCATTACAAAACATCACTTGCTTCTTACGTGTCTTGCCTTATAGAAGGAGAAAACTAAAAACTAAAGTGTTTTACTAAAACACTTTCTTTAGTTTACTTAGAGGAAATAGAAACAATTGAGACTTTTAAAAATGTATTATATTATCACATTTATCCAATTTTATACAACTTACCCAGGAAGTATATATTTGGAAAACAGATTGTCTCAGTGCTGTGGATAAGTTATAGTCTTCAGAACTGTGGTGGGTTTGGTGTCCAGCCCACATGATATTAACCTCTGCAAAACACATAATTTGAAATGAGCCGTGAGAATAAGAACAAAGCAACTTCCATTTTCACTTATGTATGCTGCTCTTGTTAAGTGAGGAAAAAAATCTGGAACATCTCTGAAAAACCTAGCCAATATAATTATAATTAAAATAAGCTGCTAAATGACTTTTGGAAACAGCAAGAGTATAAATTACAAACAAATAAGAAAACTGAAACATAGCAAATAAGTATGTATAGTGTATATGATATAATTAAATGCCTCCAGCAAGCTAAAATGACTTCCAAAATTTATACTTGCTAATGTATTATTATAATATGACAAATCATAAAAGCTTACTGTCAATGTTGTAACAATACAGTCAATGGATAGTGATGATTTTTCAGTATGTGATAATATATTTATAATTAAAGAAGAATAATGTGATGGGAGAAATTGGTACATAAATTCTGGAATGAAATATTACATAAAATTCCTTCCTGATGGCTTTTTAAGAAGTCTCAAAATCTGTCTATTGGAATAAAAGGCAAAGCAGAATAATATTTGGTTCTAAGACTTAACATTTCATTTTTTAGATTTTATTTATTTATTTGACAGAGAGAGACAGCAAGAGCAGGAACACAAGCAGGGGGAGTGGGAGAGGGAGAAGCAGGCTTCCTGCCACGCAGGGAGCCCGATGCAGGGCTCTATCCCAGGACCCCAGGATCATTACCTGAGCCAAAGGCAAATACTTAACGGCTGAGCCACCCAGGTGCCCCAACATTTCATTTTTATTTACAGAAATATATTAGCTAATACATACAGCTCTTCCTGTACCTTACGCAAACACTACCATTTCTAAAATTCTCCCACATAATTGCTGTTCATCCTTACAATAAAAAAAGGAAATGTAAGTTGTTTATTTTCATCAAGTATTATGCAGATTGCCCACATACTGCCTTGCAATTCATTTACATCCCAAAGGGATAGTTGTTTGTTTTTTCTACAATATGCCACTATAATGACCTCCTAAGTAGATAGAACCCACATTTTTCATTCTGTGAATATTTTTTTCTTATCAGAATTACAGAAACCACACTGTAGTCTATTCAGTTAAAAGAAAGTACGTTCTTAGCTACACTAACTATAATTACGTTCTTTGCTACAGATATAGGAGACAGAATTAACTGTGTGGTATGATCTCTGTATCCCTGGCAGTACAGATTAGAAATCAAATCTTTTAGTCTTGCATGCATGTGGACTGAACAGTGACCCTAAGAGTGGAAATACTGGATGGGTTATTCTTCTTCTTTTTTTTTAAGAGAGAGTGTGGATACAGGTGCACATGAGTTGGGGGAGGGGGAAGGACAGAGGGAAAGGGAGAGAAAGACTCTTAAGTATGCTCCACATCCAGCATGGAGCCTAACTTGGGGCTTGATCTAATGACCCTGAGATCATGACCTGAACCGAAATCAGTAGTCAGGCACTTAACAAACTGAGCTACACAGGTGCCTGGTTACTGGTCTTCACAGTTGCCATATACTAGTAGTTAAAATACCTAGCACTTGGCAGAATAAAATTTGTTAGAGGATTTTATGAAAATTATGGAGATATAAATATATAAATGTATATAGATATAAAAATAAATAAATAAACTCCTTCCCCCACCAATCTGGGTGCCTTCTCTGCCATTCATTTAGGAAATGAAAAACTCTCTGGACAATCTATATAGAGAGTTACCAAACAAAATATGCAAAAGAATTTTGGTAAATAAATGATAGCTCAGGGCGCCTGGGTGACTCAGTTGGTTGAGCAACTGCCTTCGGCTCGGGTCATGATCCTGGAGTCCCTGGATCGAGTCCCACATCGGGCTCCCTGCTCAGCGGGGAGCCTGCTTCTCCCTCTGACCCTCCCCCCTCTCATGTACTCTCTCTCATTCTCGCTCTCTCAAATGAATAAATAAATCTTTAAAAAATAAATAAATAAATGATAGCTCAGATGTAAGAAGGACTTATGTGAAAATGGAAAGATTATGAACAGAATTATGAATAGAGGGCCCCATCAGAAGTCATTATTATTAAAGTTATATATTTTCAAGGGGTGGCAAGTATTTTCATAAGCCATAAGTTTAAATGTAACTGAGATCCTAACTGGTTGACATTTTAATCATTCCTTATAATGACCCTATATTTTTACCCAAGCAATTAAGGAAACTGCTCTTATACAAATGGAAACTACTTGACCATAATGACCTCTAACTTCCCAGGTATAATCCTTGAAATAACCTAGAACCTTAATCTCTGGTTGATTGGCTAGTTTATACAGCTACAAATAAGAGATAAACCAAGAATCCTGTGGCACTATTGTGTCAAAGTTTATTAAGAGGTAATAAACTTGGTGAATCTCCTAAGTCTTTTAAAACTCCTTACAGAGTGAGACCCTGAAATAATCCAAACACCATTTTCTCTTTAAAACATACCCATTATTAAACATTTCAGAACCTATTACTTATAAACTTTATTACAAAAAAAAATCATTGTCCATTTTGTGTGTTGGACTTTTCAGGATTTGCTTTAAAAACTCATCATAATGTATCTATGAGTTCAGAAGGGGATGAGCTAATCAGATGAGGTCCAATTAGAGAGTAATAACATATATTTAAATTACTTCCTATAACTTCCACAGAAGCTAAATGGTGGAACAAAGAATCCACAAAGGTGGAGGTTAAAGACCTATCTCTTTAGTTGTTTTAAAAGCATTTACTTCCTATCACAAACTGTGTGTAACACAAGCCTTCGTTCAATGATGTACAGCTGTATAAACAGGGTACAGTAACTGGATCCTACTGCCTTACCTCTGTCACTTTTCAGAACAAGGAAAAACAAGAAAAAATATAAGATTTTTTTCCCACAGTTTATGCACCTTACTTGAAGTAAATCATTCTCAAAGTGGTTATACAACTGCATTTTATAGAAAATTGTTTCAATAGTTCTTTTGTAAACAAAATGAAAAATTAATAGTGCATTTATAAATACGTTCATTTCCCCTAATATTTGAATTTAATTATCTGTTCTAAGGAATAAAAACAAATATTAAAGAGGAAAAAATGGCTTTTTAAGAATAAACGTCTTTCTATCAAAGAACTAATGTAATTATAAGTTGTAGTCTGTAACAATTTTATTTTCCTACAAGAGAATTACGGATTATATAAGCATATGGTATGTTATTATGGTTTTTCAATGATATAATTAGAAACATTTATGCTGTTTTCCAGTGTTAAAATAAAGATTTGTATAAATATATTTTACTAATACATTGACCAATCATTCAATTTGGCCAAAATTTAATGTAATATGTGTGTTTGTGCGTATGTTATATTTTTAAGTTTGTTAACTTCTTCTATTTTTTTAAATTAAAGTATGACTTACATACAGTGAAATCCATCCCTTTTTTGTACTTGGTAATATGAGTTTTTGCCAAACAAATACAGCTGTGTAATCACAATCAAGGTACAGGAAATTTTTGACCAACCCCCAAAATTCCTCATTGCACTTTGTGGTCAGGGCAAGTAGACTCTAACATGGCTCCCTGATCAGATGATGAGATTCTGGACTTTGAACTGATAATGTAATGGGATGAAACCCTTGGGATCTTGGGAGAGGTGAGGGTATTTTGAAGTAGGAGAAAAATGAATCACTGGGATCCAGAGGATTGCCTATGGAAGTAGTTTCTAAGACAGCCCCCAATGATTCCGTGCCCTTGTAGGATGTTCATCTCTTATATAATCCCTCCCCTTGATTTGGGGCTGGATTTAATAATTCCCTTCTAATGAACATAATTTTGGGCAAGGTAATGGGATATCACTTCTGACATTAGGTTATAAAAAGACAGAGGCTTATGTCTTGGGTGCTCTCTCTCATACTCTCAAATGCTCTGTCTGAGGAAAGTCAGCCACCATGTTGTGAACTGCCTTTTGGAAAAGCATATATGTCAAGGAATTAGGAGAGGCCTCAAGCTAACCAGTGAGGAACTAAGCACCTCAGCTCAAACTCCACAAGGAACTGAATCCTGCCAATAACCATGTAAGTGAATTTGGAAGCAGATCTACCTCCAGCTGATCCTTCATATAACACTGCAATGAGTAGGCAACTTAACTGCTTAACTACAACCTCTTAAAAGATCTTGAGCCAGGAACACTCAATTAAGCTGTGCCCAGATTCCAGACCCACAGAGACTGTGAGATAAGCCACCAATGTGTCAGAAAGGAGTAGGTAATACAGTAGTCAATCCCCCTTGGCCTCATTCTCCCAGTCTCTTACATCCACTGATTTGAATTCTTTCCAATAGTTTTGCCCTTTTGAGAATGTCATATAAATGAATTACATAGTATTTAGCCTTTTGAGTCTGGTTTCTTTCACTTAGCATAATGCATTATAGATTTCTCCATTTTGCTGTATTTATCAGTAGTTTATTCCTTTTTCTTGCTGAGTAGTATTCCATTTTAATGGTCACATCACACTTTTTGTTTTGTTTTTATTCATTCAGTAATTGAAGAACAGTTTAGTTGCTTCCAGTTCAGGGAAATTACCAATAAAGAACCTATAAATATTCTCATACAGTTTTTCTCTTATCATAAGTTTCATTTCACTTGGGCAAATACCTAGGAGTGAGATTACTGAGCTGTATAGCATATTTACATTTACCTTGTAAAGAAACTATCCAACCATTTTCCAAAGTGGCTGTGCCTGTTTGTACTACCACCAGGAGTGTATGAGAGTTACATCTGCTCCATATCTCTGGCAACACTTGGCATTATTAGTTTTATTTTTAATTCATTTATTTCATAGCATTCTAATAGCTATGTAATTATATCACATTGAAGTTTTAATTTTCATTGACATATGGTTAAAGACTATGGTTATCCTTCCATGTGATTATTTGCCATCTGTTGCCATCTGTATATCTTCTTTGAACTCTCTATTCAAAATTGTGCCCATATTTTAGTTGAGTTGTTTTCTTATTATTGAGCT